AATAGCAAKCTAAACTCGCCTGTGCCTGCAAACCCGATCAATGAACTTAATATTCTCACATTACAAAAATATTTTCTCATATCTTAAGCAGTTATTTTTATTCCTCTGAAGTGGCAAAACCCTTTTGCATAAAGCTATCAAGCCCTCGCATAAGCCTCTCTCCTTCTTCAGAAAGTAAATTACAGGCTAACAAACCTTTCAGAAAAGTGATTTTTGCATAAGCTGTGCCTGGTTCTATTTGCAGCAGTGCAGGACAAAGAACAACTAGTCACACACATGTGAGAGGCTGTGGTGGAGAGATGCACTAAGAAGTTGCCTTGACTGGAGTTTAAACAACAACAAAAAAATGCATATATATTTACTCCTTGGCAGATTTTATCTTCCAAACACCTTCCAGATAAGAGAACTCTTTTATTGTTTTGGTCTCACCAACTTAAAGTAGAATGACAAAAGCATCTGCAGCAACTGTGTCCTTTGCTGGGTGAGGTCTATAACTAAACACATCTGAATGGAGGTGGCTCCTGGYTTTGAGGAATCGCTTTATTACATTTCTTACTGGAGGAAGAGAAGAACTCGCAGAACAAAAAAATTATCTGGAAGATGAATACTCCTACTGACACCTCTCAGTTCCATTGAAAGGGGGATTTTAACTCTTTAGCAACCTTGCAGACAAGTTATTCTGTACGTGTAAAACTGTCTATTGAGAAATATCTCCAGAATCGGATGGAGGGGAAGGCAGGTTTAGACTTCTTTGGCAGAAGTTTCTTTAATGTTGGCTTTAAGGACACCCTTGCCTGTGATACTCTCTGTTAAGCTGGCTTACGATTCTTGAAAGTGAAGACTGGAAAAGGCTAAGGAGACATTTGAACTGTTTCCACAATGAGAAACAAACAGTAACTGTAGGAAAGAGTCTTAAAGTCATCAGAGGAATTATTTTTGAATCTTTCACATTTAGGTAGAAGGCAGCATGTCGAAAAGAAGGATTCTTGAGGCTGTGTCGAACCTGCAGAATACTGCCTTAGAGATCCACACCAAAATAAATTCATGAGCAAATTCACAGTGAAAGCTCTGGTTTCTTTGGTTCTTGTGGCATTGGGGATCTTCCGAAATTTCAAACTGAACTTTCCTCACTACTCTGATGATTAGTGAAAGGGACAGGCATGGACAAATAACCTGAGCTCAACATCAAAAGTCTTTTGCTCTGCAGTTTCAAGCACTATGTGGCATTCCAGGACCTTTTTTTTTTTTTTTTTTTTTGGAACTGATTTAGTGAAACAATATGCAACAGTAGTGAAGCAGAAGAGAAAAAATAAAAAAAGAACAGAAGGAAGTCCCTAAAATTCAATTTGCTGCAGGATTAGAAGAGAATAGGCATAGTTCTGGAACAGATATGCTTTGTACCCTGAAAAAAATTTTGGTAGATAAAAGATAAGGAATAGTGCAGTGCAAAAAGAGGACACTTTCACAACTCATGCAAGTGYTATATTGGTCTGGGAAAAGGGATTTCTCTCAATGGAGTTTGTATATTTAGTAGATGGAAAAAGCAGTGAGTCAAGCAAAAGAAAGGCAGGCATTAAATAGTTGTGTCTAGCATTTTGGAAATTTATTGCCAGTTCTTTCAAGTAAGCAAAAGCCTACCCTTTCTCTAAAACTATCTCACTAAGTTGACCTTCACCATAAACTTAGCCTCAGCCACCTCTGCTATCACAATGTAATCACAATCTTTTTCAAATCATCATTTTGGTACTGAAGATATTCAGGTCTGATTTTTAATCACTGACACATTAAGCATCAGCAAAATAGTTTGCTTAGCTGTTCCACTAGCAATTTTTAAAAAGGAATGGAAACATGCACCCTTTTGATTACCTTGTTAAAGTGAGTCATGATGGCATTATAGCAGAGCTCTGTATTTCCACCATAATTAAGAATCTGTCATATTTTTCATTAAAACACATTTTTTTAAAATGGGCTTTATAACTTGGTCCTTTCTAACATTACCAGCCTGAAGTGCAGCCTGAAATCTGCCAGCTCGATAAAGACATCAATATTGGATATTTGCTTTGGAAAAAAAAACCAAAAAACAAAAAAACCACACACCAACAGTATGAGCTAGGCTACCCATAAAAATCTTTTGCATAATAATTTATATATTTTATTTAAACAATCTTGGTATTTTAACTGGAAAAAAAGTTGGAAAAATGAAATCCTTTTAATGTCAGGTTTTGCAGTCTCTCAGTCAGTCACTCCTCCTCTAAACTGTGAGGCATGCTACTCAGATCAAAAAGATAATTTTCTAATAGAAATAAATGGCTATTTACCAAGCACAAGTAAAACTTACCCTTTTTATTCTGGATCAAACCTTCTACAGTGTGTAAAATAAATTAATAATATCCACCAGATGTCATGCAGAATTTATACCCAAAGAAAATTATCTCTTTTCATAAAAATGTAGAGGCTTTTTATTTTTAAAAAAATCTAAGAGGATATAGGGATGGAAATGATTTATAAAAAAGGCTTGTACAAAAGAAGGCAGACAAGTGAAAGGAAAGGAACTAGGGTAAATGCAAATTTAATGTATGAAAATGTTGCCTTAACTTTTGAGGCACCTAGTCATTTGTTATGAGACACATAGTTGGTAATCTATCATATTCAGTGAAATTATAAACATTTAATAGTTCAAACTCATAGGAAAAATACTTTGTATAGAATAATCTTTCTCTTACATATACATTTTTTCTGTTACTAATAAATTTCAATAGTGAAGAGGACAGTATTGGTAGGGCTATTTCTATGATAACATATGAGTTGGTCCAGAAAGTTTGCTTATACAAACTGGAGGGCATCATATTGCTGYGATGGGCTGAGTCGGAGGGTCTTACAAAACTCCCCACCGCAGATGCCAACAGAAAGGCACTAGATTCTCTACTGTCAGCTATTAACAATTGAAATCTAGTAATATTCCTTGTATTTTCTTCACTGCTTTTCAACACGGCTTTTCTTCACCTTTCCAGATGACATCTTTCAAACCATAAAATGCTTTATGTTGCTCAAACTTTCTTGCTTCAATAGTTTCTCATTGCTGTACAAGTAAATCTACATCCTTTGTTACTTATATACACAAACCTACTGGTATGTGACTTTAACTCCAGGCTGAGAACAGGCTATAAATTTAGAAATCAATATCTAACTCTATCAATATTCATTTTACTTTTTCAATACAAAATACAAAGGTGAAAGAGCAGTAAATAAGCTAGAGTACTGAAATAAATTGCTTGTTCTTGTCACAATTAATAAATGTTTAACCAATAAGACTGCTTGCTACAGAAGTCTATAGCTTTGTAAGCTGTCTGAAAGTAGCAAGCACTATCCTTGTGAGGCTCAAAAGCAGAAAGCATATTTCAATATTTAATTATATCACCGGTCGTTTTCTGTGCGAGCACTTAATTCAAACATATGAACAACCATTTTCAGCACTGCAAAGTGCCACAGGAATAAATTTTCTCATGCCACTTTTTCAAGAAATACAAATGATTTTTTTTTAAATAAAAAAAAATAAAAAAGCAATTGGCTCAAGTTAGATGAAACTTTATTGCTGCACACACAACTCAAGAAAAAGCTTACAATTAATCACTCATTTACAGATAACCTTCACCGATAGCCGATGATGTTAAAAATGGAGGGAAATTATGTTTCTTGTAGTTTCCAATTCTCCTTCATGTAAATGTATAACTAACTTTCTCTTGCTATCAAGAGAAAAGGCTTCCTACTAATTCTTMTGTATAAAATCTGGTTCTTCTGTGAAGATATGATACATAATAGCGAATGATTATATGAAATATTTGCTTTAATATCAAAATATTGGCTTTGCAAAGTTACACAGGGGAGCCAGCTTGTAAAATAAAATACTGAATGCTGAAAGCCCATGATAAAATGAATAATAATACATTTCTTGATACATCATGCTGTATCAGTACAAAATGACATCCTCAAGTACTTGAAAGTTGGGAAGTGAAAATCACCTTGTAGAAATAATTACATTATCCTCTCTTCAGCCATTAAGTATTTTTCTTTCTCACATCACATATGTTCAGAGTCTTAGAGTCTGACCTATACATTCTCTTTGTCTGTAGTGCTGCCACTGAGGTGCTTTAATAACATTTTTAATATTATTCTTGGTCTGTTTCTGCCACTGAGGTTTGAAACATTGAAATTTCAGAATGGGGAATTCAGTTGGAATGCAAATATTAGGTTTCTCTGAAGATTATCTACCTAAAATGTACTTGAAGACTTGTATAAGGAGATGTTGCTGTAATAATTGATATACAACTGCTATAGGCAATCCAGAGACTCACATATTACCAGTAAATAAATAATCTCACATAGACACACACACACTCTCTAATCTTTCCAGTAYGCACATATATAATTAATATAAACAAACTGATTAGAGTTCTATAAATCACAGCTAGGTATTGAAAAAGCCATTTCCCAGCTGTGACATCAGCAAAATGTATGCAATTCTTGTGACCTCGCATCTGTGAAAAATCCTTCAGAAATGTGCTTGCAATGTGCTCCAGCACTAATTTTAAAACTGTTTCACGGCCTTATCTCCACAATTCCAATTGTTTGTCCAAGAATTCACATTCTGTCGGTATGGTGCATGATACTTACAGTATGCATACACATTTATCACAGAAGGTGATCCCATCTGCCATCACTAGCTTGCAATGCTTGAACYAATCTTTAGTGCTTGTGAAAAAAAAGATTTACTCTTTTTAAAGGAAGAAAGATCTTCTAAAAACATTTCGAAATTGGAAACGTTTGAAGGAAAATTAGGAGATTCTATTTATTTCTTAATCTCCATTAATACATAATGATAGGATAGATCCTTAGATATTTGGAGAGTTACAGAATTTATCAAGCATTTCTCCAGGTCACTGACCTACTGCTTTGTATTTAAAGATTTAACACTTCATGTTTTGTCCCATGAAATTGGTTACCTGTGGGTCCTGGCAGGGGAGCAGCTTTCCTTCTCCGTTTGATGTCTCCCATACACAACGATCCTAAATGTACACTGGTTTGTCTGCAAGTAATTATAGGAGAAAACTATTAGCAAAGGAAGGAAAATACCACATGAATGCACAGCTTGTATAATCTGAACCGATATCAAAACGTTCCCAACGAAGATGAAGCCGCACAGCGAAGCCACCAATCTTGTTTATATCAAAGCGTAATTATGTTTGTTGACAAGCGCTCAGTATCTAAATGTAGCATCATAAATTGCCGCTTGAATGAATAATATAAAAGGAATGCTTTTTAATTTTCAAAACTGGCAATATTTCTAGCTCAACATAAAACAAAACACTGTTGCTTCTGACAGGAAGATAGCTAAGATTAATTATCTACAGAGATCACAACGTTGTTGGTAGGTTATCAATTGACTAATAATGCCTAACTGTCAGAACAACATTTATTACAGGAAAGGATATTTCCAATTTCTTTTAAGCTAAGATGAAGAATGAATGAGAATATGAAACAATGAACTCTTTAAAGGCACGTGATATAGACTTGTTGCACAACAATTTGTGTGTTTCTAATTCACTAGCCAGACGCAAAAACGCCAAACTGGACACACGGTATCTTGTATACGCACTAAGCAAAAAGGAGCTTATTCTTTAAGACTGGAAAAAAGGCGGTAGAAGAGCGCTCACAGGCTAATCTTATTGCACCACAGCAATTATATACGGTCAGGTATCATAGGAAMGGGTAAATTCAGAATTTTCAAATCTGGAATTTTGGCATACAATCTAGTTAAAACTCTTAAAGGAGAATTCCAGTTAGAATTTTTCTGAAATTAATATGCAATCCCTGCAGAATGGAAGGCCTACATTTTTGAAAAGCTTTAGAGCAGAAAGGGGAAAATAGAGAGCAATATAAGGAGACACATTAAAATTACAAATTTGATCAATGTTACTCAGAACTGTATCCTTCCCACAGTAACACAGTGAATTCAGACAAAACTACAGGCTGCAAGCGGCATCTGATAGTGTTGTCTAGCACAGTAACACACAGTCACTCAAGGGACCCGGCTTCATTTTGGATGTATRACCTTGTCTTTTACTGCATTTAGAAAGTTTTTAAAGCTGCGCTGCTTCAACATGAAAAACAAATGATCATGTATGTTGAGACACTGCTGAGATCTGCTCAGTAATATAAAGGAACAAAACAGTGCCCTGCTGAAAAAGATGACAGTGTATAATCTTCTACACAGTTCTTTTAAATAGAAGTGTAGTAAATTAACACAGAAATAGTTGTGTATTTAAATAATAATAATAAKAAGAAAGCTTTACACAGAAGTGCATTCTTGCTTCAGTTAATACACTTCTAGTTCAGCATTTATTACTTAATTCTCTTATTTTAAAATAACTTTTTTTTTGTTTTTCCTCTCAGAAGTCCAGGAATTCCTTCCAGAATTTAATTGTACATATGAAAAGATCAATACATAAATCAAAAATGGGAAAAACAATACTAGAGAAAACAAAAAAGAAACGAATATACATCTTTGTTAAAAATAATTTTAAAAAATGTGTGTTAAATTGCGTGCTAAACGATATTCAGCTAGATGTTTTCTCTTCATAATGAAAAGGGAGAAATACTCCAGAAATACAAGAAGGATGAAAGATAAAAATTAATAAAGTCAGGCAATTGAACCTGAAGCCCGGAGCTACAGGAGAAACAGCCAGCAGTGCTCGAGTTATTTTACACAGAATTGATTATCTGTTACACTACATTGAGATATCTAGATTATTGATCTGTAAGATTATGGTACTGGGGTCTCCCCACTTTTCCTCTAGGCACACGGGATGGAGTTGCGACAAATAACACTAAGTAAGGACTACTTTGTTATTGTTGTCACCCTTCATGTAGAACATAGCAGTTACTTTTTAATTTAAAATCGATGAGCGTCTGAAAGGCAGCCTTGTTCCCGCAGCATAAATGAATCATTTGTCTTTGCAAAGCACAACAATCTGCTCCCCAGCCAAGGTGAGAGTGGGGATTTCTTTGTTGCTGCTGCAAACTCCGTATGCCACAAATAAATAGCAACATGCTACAGCAGCAATTAAGCTTTGTCAAATTCACTTTTATGGCCACCAGCATCAAACATCAGAGCAGCTCCTGAGCCTCCAGATGCATTTGGTTGCACCAGGTCTTAACAGTTGACGCGCGTGGCCGACGCAGATCGCAGATGCACAAAGGGCTACATTTTTAAAGGGAAACAGGCACCGAGCTACTGCTATTCCTGAACTGGTGAGACAAAAGAAATGCAGTATTTATTATACTTTAGCTGTAAAACAAACACGTCCTCATGYACAGGGCAAGCTGAAATGCTTCTAATCGGGGATCTATAAGGTAGGGAGAGCTCTGACCCTCAGCCCGGCTAACTTCAGCATTATGTTTCTTAGCATTAAGTCAGAATGGGAAGGATTAGAGAAAGGAAACAAGCTATTTGCCTGACTTCTCTCTATTTATCCATAGCTTGCTTCTAGCTATCATTTATAAATAGTGCTCTGGAGGGAAACTAGGCATTTTATTAGGGAAAAAAAACCCAACTTGTTAAGACCACCTTGCCTGAAAACTTGGCTTTTGATGCGCTGGTGACAGGGACTGGAGCAAGCAGTGTCAAATGGAATAATTTTTAAGGAAAGACAACAGGAACTTGTCACCTCATTGTATGCATTTACAAATAGAGGCTTTTCAGAGTATTAGGCCTAGTTAAAGCTGCCCTCTGGATACAAAGTGTTCCCAAGCAGCCTCAGACGAGCTTGGGAGACAAACAGATGTGACTATGGTCCCTGGCGTTTGGCAAGAACACTCACTGTCAATAAGAAAAATATGAGCACGGACAGGGCATCAGCTGCACCGCGGCGGAGCGGGCCTGCGAGTGTCACCGCAGCGGCAAAGTTGGGGCACAGGGAAAGAAGAGGGCTGCAAAAGCCAGGCTGGTGTRAACTTACATGATCAGGCCAACATTTTTTTGTTGCTGTTGTTGTCTCATGCCTCAACGTATTAAACAAAAGCACTTGAAAAATTACTGTCAATTTTTATCTGGTTTTCATCGCRAATGCTGTATTTAAATCCTCCTTTCTGCTCTATAAATGAGAGCTTCAAAAATGATGACAGGCTGGGGAAGACTAGTAATAATAACAACAAGAAGCCATTAAAATGATAAGTGTAATAAAAGTAGTTTTGTTCCAGCAAGCATTTTTCTTCTCTGTGTAGCAGTGATGATACAAAAAATAATTCACAAGTATCTACGCATTCTTGTGACAGTCATTTTTTACCTCCTTCTTAAACAATCATAATCTCCTTACCGTGTTTTCTCTTCAAGGTAATTGCTTTTCACTGTGGTTATATCTATGGAAATATTTCTTTAAACCCCCTAAAAAAAACAAAAAAAWTTATCCAGCCCTTCACAGTGCAAACTCCTATTTTTCAGCCTTTTTTATATTTTCAATAAGCAAATATGAGCGCCTACTTGGCAATTACACATTAGCTCTTCTAAAYGGCTTGGAGAGCCAGTTATGTCATTTTTCTACCTAACCCAACCTCTATGGTCAAAGGACCGTTTGGGTACATTCCCCAAAGACTTCCCACCTGTTGTGGGAAGGGGCACCTAGCTGCCCTGCTTTAACTGAGAACCACCTTGTGAAGCACCAAGCTTCACATAAAGCAGTTCCTGACTTGTTTTGCTCTATTTGCTCTAGCAATTGTCCCCCTTGCTGTTATCGGAGCTAAAGCTTCATTGGACACGTCAATGGGAAGGACCGGGATCCAACCATATGGCAGGCAGGATGACGGATACTACTGAACATGAATCCCAGCTCCCTGTCTGATTTATTCCATGCTTCTACATGATTTATTCCATGCTTCCAAAACCATCCCATGTGCAAAAAAACACTTTCCTGCCCAGCAYCCCCAATCAAAGTCAACAATTCCTGCGATTAGTTGCTTCACCACCTCTTCGGAAACACGTCAGGGACACAGAGCGCTACGTAGCCGGCGGCTTCACAGGCACTAGAGCGACAGCCTATCCTAGTCAGACTGTCATCGCATTTAGAGGACTTCTGGGCCCATCCAAAGGAAACACGTGCATGCTTATTGCACATTTCTTACTGCTAACAAGATGTGTGTTGACCRTCTTACTCTACGGCCTCTCTGCTCTTGGCCGCTGTCATTCCCTTGTAAGGGAATGTGTAAGCCACAATCCTTTATTGCATATCAGCCATTTTTGTTGACACATTGCAACTCTGCCATTGGTAGAATGCCATTAAATACAAGCTGAATTCCATCCTTGGAATATTTGGGCCTTTAAAAATGTGCCAATTTTAATAGTGTCAAACCAGCTGAGAGACTACGCTTTGTACCTCTGCAACACTACAAGGATTGCTTGCAAGCAATGAGAGTGATGGCTGTGTTGTCTGTCTGCGGAAAAAGATGTATAACTATCTTGATTTCTAATACAGATGGAAGTGGAAGAGCTTTTTTTTTTTTTTTCAACAGTATTTATTAAATTTCTGTACTCTCATTTGGCAAATATGAGGCTGCACACCAATATAAGGCAACAATGCTTTCAGGAATACTTGATTTTTATATCTTAAGTGAATCTGTAATGATCAATACTTGCCTATCCACTCTGCTCCAATTAGCATSTCTCTCACCTGAGGAACAGATCCGCTGTAAACAGCAAGGCACTGCTCTGCCACAGTATCGATGCATTCCTGCAGATGGCTGTAGAACTCTTCAATTTTATCATCATTGAACACTTTAGTTAATGTAGAAGCTCGATGAGTTTATAAGTGAATTTCTTTCACAAGAGATCATAGCAATGCAAGAGATGATCAGTTTGCACTTTTAAAGAGATGTGAGAGACTGTTTTGAAGCAGATATTTAACTATATTTGTCTGTTCTCAATCTCAGAACAGAAATAGATATGAAATATATTTGAACATATGAACGAAGAAAGAACAGTGAGGGCTGCTGTGTCCTTGCTTTAAGCTTCAGATAACTGGATAATTTTTTACA